CTTTTGTACATGGTCCTTTGTGAGACACTCCAGGTCCAAATTATAGTAATGTGAAAAATTATAATTTCTTTTATTTTTGGTTTTTTGAGACAGGTTATCGCTTATGTAGCCCAGGCTGACCTCAAACACACAGCCATACCCTTGCCTCCGCCTCCCAAGGGTTGGGATCACAGATGTGTACCACCATTAAAAAATACAAACTATTATAAATATAGGAAGAAGAAGCATATAATTAATCAGGTGTGGGAAAGATATATGAGTTTATGTTCAATATTTTATTGTTAAGACAATAAAATGTTACTAGTAAGATATCTAAGTTCTTCTTAACTAAATAGCAGTACATTATATGAACAAGGGAAAATGATAATCCCTACTCTTACATGATACTGGTCATATTATACATAGACCATTATATTCAGCTCAGGATGATTTATAGAAGGATATATTATACTTTTGTCAAGGAAAAGCTGATGATGAGCTTCAAACTCACATTTTATGATAATGGTTCAAGACTAAGAGAAGATTTGATAAAAATAATGGTTCTACAAAGGTATATATACTTTCCCCATATCATCACAGTTAGAAGAAGTCAGGAAGACATTAATTTCAGCTGAATATAAAGAAATATTACCTAAAAGCCAGAGATACCCCCCCAAAACTTCACTTTCCTTGCACATGCATGGGAGAATATTTTATAATTCCACTGAATGTAGATTATGGAAGTAAGAAATCAGTTAAAGTGGATAACTCTATTAAATGATAGCTATATTAAATAATCTTTCAACTCTGCCAAAATATTCTTTTCTGTATCTTCTTCATTTATACAGTAAAAAAAAGACAGGAGAAAGGATGTTTCAATCCAACCACACCCTCCACTGAGTTGGAGGGAAAGGGCTGGCTGAAAAGAAACTCAAGAAACATAATCCTAACAGTTAAAATTCACTTCAGCTCAAAAATACATGGCTTACTATATACAAAGTGCTTTGCACTCAACTCAACAAATAACGGAGTAATCACCATATACAAAGCATACTGAAGTAAAATTAGAGATGTAAAAGATATGAGAAGAAAAACTGCAGAACTGCAAGTATGCCTGCTCTTGAGACTTTCACGTCACGTCAGGTATGACTTCTACAAAGTGGCAAAGCCACTCACTTGTTTATCGTGTTCCAGTCACCACTGTAAGAATTATACTCATCGTTCTGCAGGTTAGGGAAGTCCTAAGTACCAAACCCAAGCCTAGAGTCCTCAGTCCTTAGCAGCTGAATTATCGATATCCACAAACTCTTCAAGGCATTTCCTCCCTTAGGCAAAGACCCTACTTTATCTGGAGAGGCGAGGATGGATGTCACTGTTATAACAGATGCAGAAGAATATGTAAAAAACTTCGAAGCTCTTCTCAAAGTGTATCACATACACAAGGTACAAGGAAATACATAATGCTGAAAGACAGCGCTAATAATGAGAGGACAGCACTGACAAAATTCACTGTTCTCAAAAAAATACATGACCTTAAACAACAAAACAGGAGCACAGAGTAACTGGTAAGTTAATAAAAATGAGAAGATGATCTAAGCTGAAGGAATTTTGAAGAATTTGGGACAATTTTGTTTAAAAGAAATTCATCCTGTTTAATATATCTTCAATTTTATTTTTAAACTGTAGTGCAGGGAAGAAAAATACCACAAAGAACCAAAGATAAAGTGAAAACCTAATTCCCTTAATTTATTTATTAATATAGAATTGTTGTTGACAAGTCTGTTGTAAAACACTGTAGTCTGATACATTACTGGTATGAAGATAAATTGACTCATTTCTTTTGGAAAGCAATTTGACAAAATACATAAACAATCTTAAAATATCTCCATACAGCATGACTCAGTATTTTTCTTAAAATTACAAGAAAATACTACTAAATATGGATAAAGTTTTATAAAGATTTTTAAAAACAGCATGGAATAATATGAGAAAAATATAAGTAAATGCATTTAAAAACCCTACATTAAGAAAATTCCAGAGCCGGGGATTTAGCTCAGTGGTTCCACTGCTTGGCTTGCAAGAGCAAGGTACCGAGTTCGATCCCTGGTACAAAAAAAAAAAGGAAAATTCCTACACCATTGGGGGCAAATAGAAGAAAAGAAGAGCAAAAGCAACATTTGTTATCATAATTAATTATATGTGGGTAAAGAAACTATGTATGACCTATTGTTTTATCTTTTAAAATTTCCCCCAAATTTCCTTCAGGAGCAATATTTCTTTAAAAATTAAAAAAAAAAGACAACAAAAAAAATCATGATTGAAGAAGAAAAAGAGAATGTTCATTAGATGAAAAAGACAGGAATTAGGAGAAGCAGAATTTAGAGACAAATTTAGAGGATTTGCTACAATTAATCTTTTACAGAGGTGTCAGAAATTAGAAGGTGCTAAATAGGAAAAGAGAAATTGGTGGGTATGTACAGTGAAGCATTATCTTTCCATTCAAAGGATCTCTACAAGAAATCCTTCTGGTCTTCTCTTAAGACCCTACATTGACTGTTCCGAAAAGGGGAGTAAGTCCTAATGATTCTTTGCAATCTTTCATTTAAAATCAAACTAACAAAAATATCATCATTAGGGCCAGGGATTTAGCTCAGTGGTTCTGCTGCCTGCCTCGCAAGTGCAAGGACCAGAGTTCGATTCCTGGAACAAAAAATATATATATATCATCATTTATTATCTTTTAATATACCATTTTACATGACATTATGCTATTCATTTTTTTAAAAAACAGATGATAAATTATTAAGGTATTCACTGAGACTAAATGATGGCTCTACTGCTTCAGTGATTTTGAACAGTACTTAGTGCATAAAAGCACATGTGTTTGATTTTATTCTGATGGAATGTTGTTTGCTTTTATTCTAATGAAATAACCAAGTGTATGGTCAAGATCATTTATTCATTTTCTCATCCATTTACTAAACTTGAAGGAAATTTTTTTCTGCTGGATTAGTTTTAAAATAATAGTACTGGGGCCAGGGATTTAGCTCAGTGGTTCCACCACCTGCCTTGCAAGCTCAAGGACCCGAGTTCGATCCCCAGTACCAAAAAGAACCACAAATAAAATAGTAACATTCACCAAGGCAATAATTAATATATAATGTATTGAACACATGATTAAGTGAATCACTAAGGTTTTTTTAAACTGCATAATTTGGGGTAAAAATCAATTGACTCATTTGAAACTGCTTTATATTCTTATTAGTTGCCAGCATCAAAACATAAAATTCCTACTGTTGTGATCTCAGCCATGAGTATGGCTGTATCTACTCATATTCTAACTTACAAATTACCAAGAACTTACTGATAATGTCTTTACATTAACATAGAATTATAAAATCTCCTAAAACACATACACTTTAGAACTACATACAAATTTGACTCAATACTACTAAATCTTCTATTCTTTTAGTTTTCTGTTTTATTGCTTCTTGGAATACTACAACAGAGACTTGTTGCTTTATAAGTCAATCAACTCTTTAAGACTATAAGACTGTAATTTACTGGCAAGAAGTTTAACCAATCCTTCTGCTGTTTGATGATAACATCCAAAGTTATTATTGATTCCATATTTAAAAGCAAAATAATAAATGACATCATTAGTTGAATAAAGATAACAAGTTTTATGTGCAAATAATTTTACCCAAACAGAAAAAGAGCTAAGTGAAAGTTTATAGATTAACTATATAGAGGTAAAAATTACTTAAAAAGAGTAGATCTATGTTTCATTGACAGCATTCAGCTGAGAAACCACTGGAGTCACAGTGAAGGGATCAATATCTAGGTTTTTATCCATATGTGAAAAATCTTCCTGATGCCTGAAGAATAAGGCTGAAATCAATCATCATTCCTTTAAAAATCCTTTAGCAATTATAAAAGCAAAACATTCTATTATTCTTAACTCTGTCTCTATTTTTCTCATGGTACAGTGAATCATTTGAATGTCCCCTATCATGATTCCAAAACATCATGAGTAATTCCATCCAAGAATGGTACTTTGAAATCTAATGTTTTCTTTATTTTTCTATCTCTCTATCTACTCATCCATCTATCTATCTGGTATATGTTTGCAATACATAATAATGCCAGGCATTTGGAAAATTTCAGGCGTATGGGTAAAAACCTAGATATTGATTCCTCCTCTGTAATTCTAGTAATTTGTCCACTAATATGTTTTCTTCAAAAACTTGTAACTTTGAGTGGGATGAAAAGTAATTAAACCCCAAAAGTGACTGCAAATTGAGAATGCACTACAGCATTCTCCAAGTTTGTAATTTGGGTACAATGCATGTACACAAATTTATTTGCCCTATGGGACCCCTTGATTCTAAATCTATAAAAGTAAATCAAGTTAAAGTCCTCTAATAAATGTTAATGGTTTGTCCAAGTATAATTATTAAATCTCATTTAAAAAAAGAAAGTAGTGCTACATTTAAAGTTGATGATTAAAATAATAGAAGCTATAATAGGACTATTTAGTTATATCACATTCTAAATATGAATTTCTAAACTTCACTTTTCCAGATTTGTTCCAAATAAATATACCTAAAACTTCAGTAGAGTTTAAAGATTGTGGACATTTTCTAAGTTTTTTTTTTAAAAAACTGCCTTGAGGGCTGGGGATTTAGCTCATTGGTTTCGCCACCTGCTGCACAAGAGCAAGTACCCGAGTTCGATCCCCGGTACCTAAATAAATAAATAAATAAATACTGCCTTGAAACAACATAAGTAGTGAATGAGATAAAATTAATTCAGTGAATATTAAGAGCTTCCTCAAAATCTATTCTAAAAAAGGAAAAATATGAATGCATATCTATCTATACTTTTACTATAAAAATTAAATATTAAAATAATGGCAAGAACATTTTACAAAACCATGATACAAACTCACTGAAGTTATTTTCTTACATAACAAATTGTATTCCATTTTGAAATTGGTTATTTTAACAATTCTAAATAGAATTTTGAATCATTTTTCTTTGCCAAAATAAAATTTTAAAAGTCAAATAGTTTAGGTTGCTATATTAAAAGCAGGCTTTTTCTACCTGTCCTTACCAAATTATCTTTAATCCTCTCCAAATTTATCATTTATAATATCAATTTTACCAATTTAGCATACTTAATTATAAAATTCCTGAAAGTAAATAGAAAAAGTGTGAAAGTGTTATTAACATAAAATGTGTGATCTAGTAATACCTATTTTAAATTTCAAACTCTAGTAGAAAAAAAAGTTTTAAAATTGTAGAATACATACACACATATCTTTATGTCAGGGCATAATCTCAGACAAATCCATTGTTTTTCTCTTGCTACTCAACATTTGATTCAAAAGTACAACTTGAATTTTAGAGAAGAAACTAAAATTTGGACTATTTTTGTGCTTCACAATTAAGGTAATGCTATCACCCTGAATTTATATAGTATGTTCTGGCATTTTTAAACTTTCAACATCCTTATTTAAACTTTAGCAGAAAATAAAGTAAAACTGGAATCAAAATTTCTAAAGTCAAAGACAAAATATGAGTTTTAGAAATTATGGAACTTTTCTATATTTAAAAACATCTAGGTTTAACAGATTTTAAAGTGGAAAATAGTGATATTTTAGAAAACATTAATGATCAATGAATTGTTTAAATTAGAATTAGTGATCTTTAAATTGTGACGGTAAAAAAAAATGGCACCCACAAAGATAAAAAAGCAGCTACCACATTCTGAACACTTTCTCTGTGCAAGGAGCTATGCCAAGCACACAGGCTACAAAATATCATTTAGTTTTCAAATCCATCTGAACAGGGAGGAACAAGTCTCTGACACTATCAATAAGAAAACTGACATTTTGGAACATTCAGTATCTTACCTAAGGCCAAACAGCTTATAAGGGCCAGGATTTCACCCCAGGTTTCACACACTCATAGGTTATAAAGCCTTTTCAACATTGCATAACTTTAGAAACAACTACAGAAATCACAGAATCCTTATAGAACACAGCATTATTTTTTACTATCATTTATAATCAAACTGGACAACCACCATAGAATAAAACAGAATGATAGAGCAAACATAGTTATGCTGCCTATTCTTAAAACATAGTAATCTAAAAAAGAGAGTACTTTATTATGTGGACATAGGAAAATATCAAAAGAAAGCAGCTGCCTGCCCTACTGCTGCCCATAAACCACTGGAGTAAGTAAAGAACAACCTAAACCAGAAATTGCCTGAGTCAATCACCTTTCAGTGCAATAAAGCCTTTCTTTTTCATTCTTCCCCTTCAAAAGACTTTTTCAAAAAGAAATTCAGAGATGTGAAAAAGTTATTCAAGGAAAACGTAACAAAAATGAACAAAAGTAATATCAAGGAGATACCATGCCCTAGAGTTTCAGTTTGATTAAAGACTAAATTGGTAGATTTGAGCTTCTCAGACTGCTGATTTAATAAAAAAAACTTACAAGATCAAAGAAAAAGATATCACAAGTAACAAACTGTAGCAGAAGACAGAGGGTTAGAAAAAAGGTAAAACTCAGAGAAATTTTATAGGGAAGAAAGTACAGGCAGAGGTAGGCCAACAGAGTGTGCAGGAACCTGTCACTGACTAGCTCAGTGATCTTGAGTACATCACTTTTCTTTAATTTCCTCATCTCTAGCCCATGAATAACAATACTACCATCTCACAGGGCTGTAGTGAGGATTAAGTGTGTTAATACATGTAAAGTTTAACACTAAGCCTGGCACACAATTGTTATTCATTATTCCAAGGAAAAGCAAGAAGAGAACACAATCAGCATGGCCTTAAGCTTCTTGAGCATCTATAGATCTCTTCAAATTATATTTAAACTCTACACTAAAGGAATCAAAATTTGATTCCCAACCAATGTATATAATGTTGAAGGTTTTATTTAGGATGTCTGAAAAATTAGCAATGGTATGTTGTCTTGAACTTCATATTTTCCTTGAATTTAAAAGGTGCACTTCAACCATTCAAGGATCCACTGCCAAACAGGGAACAAGAATAACAATAAACCCCTATAAGAGAAGTGTAAAACAACTAGGTTCTGACCCACAAATAAGTAAACTCTTGATACTTACGTTTATTAAAGTGAAGCAAAGTCTAATTTTGATATATAGAATACTATTTTATTATTTACTTTAAACTTTTCTTATATGTTTAAAAAATACACAGGGGTTCAGAACAACCTCAATAAAAAGACAACATTTCTTACTAAAGGACTTCTGAAGTCAAACCACCAGTATGCACACATGGTTGGCTTCTAAGTTAAAGAGTCAGAGGCACATTTCATTAAATGCACTTCATAAAACAAGAAAATTATTATGCTGAGAAGAAAAATACTCAGTAGTTATATAAATTTTCCAACTTATAAAAAAGTAAGGTATAGATATTCCACTGCTCACACCTGCTTCTTTATTAATTCATCTAATTGTCACTTTGCTACATCTAAACCCCTGACAATTTATTACATAATCTCAGCACACTAAAAAATAAATTAATCTCTACATCTGAAAACAGGCCATTATAAAATACAATACTGATAGCTCTTACTTTTATTTGATAACTACATATGTTATATAATCTCAGCAGCACTAAGAATGCAGCTAATATAAATATCTAAATAACAACTACATAAAAGTATTTTCTTTTTAAAATAAGTTCTTATATATACTTTTCCCAATGTTGACAACTTAAACAACATTGACTTCTGTATTGTGCTAAGAAAACATTAGGCACAGATCACATAATATAATTTACACTTTCTTTGTTTTAAAAAATATATTATGTGCAAATGAGTATCACACAAATGTCTAGTGGACACAACAGTAAGCTATTATAGACCTAACACAAAAAATAGTTAATGTTTTACTTTTTTTAAGGACATTCCTAGCAGCATTAAGAGTGATACACCACTACTGAATATCCTGTATCTGAATTAGAATTACTTGTAGGTTTTCTTTAAAAGAACAAAGGTCTACTACAGCAAAAAAAAGACACCACATTAGGCACATGAACTAACTTCAAAGAAAAAAGATAAAACTGTTCCCAAAATCCCATTAAAAATATTTGACCCAGTATCCCCAATAGGTGACTACATTGCTTTACTGGAAGGAATAAATTATTTAACATTATGATTGCTTTATACATTAGTTTCCTTCATTAGCTAAGACATTTCAGGAGTAAGATACCATAGAATTCGTATTTTTTTAAAAAGTAAAGAAGAAAAAATAATAGGATGTTAGGAAAGTGGGAAGAAAGCAAAGTCATTTTACGCAGAAGGAACAAAATAGCGTTGGTTTGTTTGTTTGCAGCACAAAATCTGGGCTGCAGAGAAAATTATAAAAACATGAACAAAAGGGTTGTGTGACAGATCATGAAACAATGCTTACTGTGCATCTTTCATGAAGAAATCACTTATGAATGTAGATTAGTGTGTTTAAAAGTATATTTGGATACAAAAGGTTATACTTGGCCACATATATAATATGTAGCATTTTTCTGTAAAGGACAATTTATGAAAATAATTTCCACAAACACAACAGAGTGAGAGACATGGAAAGAGACAAAATGAGAGACAAAGACAAAGGCAGAGAGTACAGACAGAAAAACAGAGGTGTCAAGAGGCTTGCTTATGTCCTATAGAAGACTTGAGATACTTTTTTCATCCTCAGTACCGAATTATTCTTATTACTGCACATTTACATTCATACACTATAATTCTCTCATGAGATTACCCTGTATACATCCTTTCCTTTAGTTTTCTCCATGAAAAAGGTTTTAAGAAAGAGACATTTAGCATCATCCTTCATTTAACAGTGAACTATTCAAGTAAATATTTCTCTGGTGGCAACTTTCCAGATGAATCAAGAATTTACTCCAAACCCACTGTCAGATTACATTTGATTTAGTCTTAGTCTCTTCAAATGGAGCAGGAATTCGCCCGTTTCCTAGGTTTGGGGTCTCGTGCTTCCTGATCTTTCACACATGTACAAGATGTGCACATTGTCTCAGAAAGTCTTCGGAGGCCTAGCCGGAAAACACTGTTGGAGAGGCTGTATATCACACAGTTACAAAAGCTATTACTTATAGCAAGCCAGGTTGTTAAGAAGGACAGTGTTGGATTGTCCAAGACTCGGGAGCTTTCTAGAAGAAAGTAAATAATATAGGGGAGCCAGAGCATGTAAAATACACTGGTTATTCTAAATAAAACCATGGCATAGCGTCGGTCGGGGCTGTGTCCTGTCTCTCTGGAAGCATCTACTTCATGGCTAGGGAATCGGGCTCTTCGGTCATTTATTTCTTTGGTGTGCTGTCGGCAAATTCTGAAAATGTGAAAGTAAGTGAAGCAGACAACAAAGGCAGCAGGAGCATAAAGTAAACAAACAATAAAGCCAGTAAAATAGGCACTTGTGAGCCAAGAGGTGGCACACCATTCAAAAATGTCACCATGGTAACCAGGTTTCCCCCAACCAAAAAAGGAAGGCAAAAAAATTAGGCAGGAATAGATCCAGATCAAAATAATGCAAATTCTCAGGCGACAAGAGGTGACCAGTTGATTGTAAGAAAGAGGCTTGGTTATTGCAAGATAGCGATCCACACTGATGCAAGCAAGACATGCCATAGAAACACTTTTTAGAACTGAGATGATATATCCAAAAACCTGGCAAGTCAATGACTCGTGGACACCTGTGGAATAGTGAAGAAGTGAGAGAGTAGGAACCAAGCAGCTAACTCCAACAAAGAGATCAGCATATGCCATTGTCTGTATAAAATAGCTGGTAGTATAATGATGTAACAGTGGAGCACAGTGAAAGACAAAGATGACCGTTAAATTCCCAGCAATGATTAGAAATGTCAGCAAGACAATAATGACTGTCTCAAGGATGCAGACATCCACTGCACTGTAGTGACCAAATCCAAGTGGGCAAGAGTGACGCTCAGACATATTCACAATGCCACTGCTCATGTTCAGGATCTTCCAGTCAGTCCCCCTGGATTCATTCATGGCTTGGAATTAGAAGAACTTGCAGTCTTGGCTCCAGCAAGCAGGTGCCTTTTCCAGCATCTGTTAAACTCTGCACACAAGTGCCTCAGAACCTGCTTCGGCAGACAGTGTCAGTCCTTCTCTCACAGCTGAGTGTCCCAGGGTGCTCAGATCTCTTCATCAGCCTTAGTTCACCACTGACACATCTCAGCTTTGGGGGATAAGAGAAGAGGGTAAGCTACAAAGGTGAAAAGAGGTCTCTGATTAGCTTCCTCGGGTGCTCTCAAATAACTTTTTGCAGACACATGGCACTTCTAAAGAAAATACTGTAGGTTACCTTGTACTACGAAAAATTAAATCCATAAAAAGGAAAAAAAAAACTGCCAAGAAAAGGAAAGCTTCCCTGGGTAGGCTGTTTTGCTCTCCTAAGAGAGGTATTTTCTTAGGGATCAACTAGAAAACAAAGAGAAAAGAAAAAGTCTTATATTGTCTCAGGCTTCCTGCTTCATCTATGATGAAAATGCATTCACATTTTAGAATTTAAATAATTAAGATCTCAGATCTAGTTGGAAAGCTAAGAGAAAGTTCATTTTGGCAGAGTGTCCTTGGGCTTAGTTCAGATTTGATGCTGATAGGTCAACTTTTTGATCTATTTCTCTCTGATTTGTTTTTATTTTAAGGAAAGAAAAATTCTACTTGTGGTTAATTCCAAGACTCATATTTAAATGGGCACAAAGGAGCAGACCACAGGTAACAAACAGACTCCAGATTGCCCTATAATTATCATGAGAAAAAAAAGAATATTTCTAGTAAGGGAAGGTAACATACAGTGAGTTAATAGATTAACACTTGAAAACAGTATGATAACTCCTGAAGTTTTAATTCTGCATGCATTTTTAAGCATCTTTGAGGAGAAAAGGTTTTGTCAATTACAATTTTGGGTGCTACTAACAGTCAGGTAATTTATACCTCTTCCCTTTCAAAATGAAATCTTTTTAGCCATTAACTTCAACATCTACAACTGGAAATAATTTTCATTATTTCATATGCTGCTTTCCTTATAATGGAGCATTACAGTAAATTTTTGCTTGGTTATTTCTCTTTTTTACAAGCATACACCCATATCCTACATACATGCAAATACAGATGAAATTTAGACAACAGAAACTTTCCTATACATTGAGCTTATATGAGAACAAATACTACCATTATTTATTACTTATTTCTAGTAGGTTTCATATACTGCTATACCCTTCTATTTCATTAGATTATTAACACAATAAATCATTACTTCATAAAAATCATTACTTCAACTAAATCTTCTAAAAGTAGAAAATTACCTTATTTATTGTATTTGCAAATATGTAGCCACCACATGTTAAGAAAATGCCTCTTCTATTTCTGTATTCTATTTTGAGCAAGTGTTCAATTAATACCAGGGCCATTAGGTAGGTTCTGAGATAGATTTGCTTTAAAATACCTCAAAACATCATGATGAGTTTAAATCTTCGACTTTGAAATACTGAAAGGCTGGCAGGATAAAATCCATCCAAAAAGCTTCCAAGGTCATTCTTGTATCAGGTTAACATTTGTCAAAGTCTTTTATTTTTTCCCCCTTAAAGTATAAGCATTTCAGAGTCTCTTGTCAGTCATTGTTATCATAGCTTTTGAAGAAAGAGCATACTCTAGAAATAAAAACATTTCCTTCAGGAACAATGCAGCAGCTTAATAGAAAGCGTTCTTCTGAAAGTTATTTTCTTGTGCACTACCACATTATTCAGGGAAATCCTTCTTCTGTAAAAGCCACAGGATATTCCTCCTTTTACATTCTTAGTTTCAATTATCACAAAATAGTTCTCTTGTTACAGGAATAAGGTAATACTTCTCACCTACATTCACTCTTATCAGCTGCTAGGCTAGGCTGCTTGATTCAGAAGTCCGATTTACTATGATGCAGTTACCAGGATGCTGTCGGTAGATTCTTCACAATCTCTCAGTTTCACTGCCTGCCTCCACCTGAGCCCAAGCCCTGCTCCTCCTCCTCATCCTGAGCTGATGCAGAACTCACCATCAGAAAGGTGACTCGGTCCTCCTGCCCCAATCAACAACACAGCCAATGGCTACTGCAGCTGAAACTGTCACTAGGTAACAGTTGCCAGGCACATGCAGGCTTATAGACTTCCTCAGCAAGCTCCGATCAAGATTGACAAAAGGAAATAATGGAACTGACCAATCCTTATAATATGCTAATAGTATTTAGAAACTTCTAAAGGAATTCTTCCTATGTTATTTGTACAGATTATATCCTGTGAACCATACAGGGAAAAAAAAAAAAAACCCTGGCATACACCTTTAAACTCTGTAGAAAAACTACCACAAGGTACTGTGACACTAAAAAGTCAGCAGTAACCTAATGCTCATTGCCAGAAAAAACTTATTAATTACTAAAAATCAAGTCTTCATGAACTGAAGTGATATAACTATTTTTTCTACAGAATACATAGTTGTATTTTGATTAGAAGTTAAAAGCCATTTACTTTTATTCAATCCTGGCCATACCTACACAGTACTGATGAATTTAATATATTTAACTGTACAAATAAAGCACTGGACATAATACTAGTATGTTAAAATCTATTCAGAGAAATACTTAAGGTCAAACATGATCTCAGACAAGTATATACATAAGAATAAACAGAAAGACTGTTTAGTCCATTTTTCATCCTAATATGTGGAAAGGGCCAGAGGGTGAAAAAACTGTCATACAATGCTTGAGCTACACATGTCCAGGTTACAAGAAAGAAATTAGATATTTTCTCAAATATTTAATGGATGTTAAAAACATTCACTTTTATTTTCTACAGACAAGCATTCACCTAAACATATTTCCCATGGTGTCAGCACTTTTCTTAAAAACTGATGAATTAATTTAAAATTTATTTCAGAAGTAAGATAAATCAAGAAAGTTAAGGTGAAGATGGAAGATAACTAATATTTTTTCAGAGCATGTTTTATGAGCCAAACATTATGTTATGTACATTTACATATTTTCTCTATAAAAATCTTAAATCTCTATGAAGTGACCACTGTAACTGTCATTGGTCAAATGAAGAAAATGGGCACTAGACAAGGTCAGTATAGATCACCTACACTTACAGAGCTGTGAAACTGGTCAAAATTGTCATTCTTAACACCATTTTGATAGACCCTATTTTCGCTTTCCTACTGATGGCTGCCAGTCAGGAAATGTTTTAGAAGAATTACTTCAAATTTCATAAAAATAATTTCTGAAGAACAGAAAGCCCTATTCCTCCTTCATGTTTAACTGCCTTTCTGGAAGAGCATGTTATTGCTTAAATCTTTGAAGGTTTCTGTGAAAGACAGAGTGATAAGCACATTTTTCATTACCAGAAATATTTGACCAGTTAGAATAAAAATTTTATAATGATTACTCTATTTAGGTTTGAAAGTAGATATTTAAAGTTAAGGCCGGGGATTTACCTCAGTGGTTCCGGTGCCTGGCTCACAAGTGCAAAGTCCCGAGTTCGATCCCTGATATGTATGTATGTACGTATGTATGTATGTATAAATAAATAAATAAATAAATAAAGTTAATATGAAAGAACTAAAAAGTTCTGTTTTACAAGGAACCACTTTGACTTTAAGAGATACCTAAAGGCATGAGCTTTATTACAAAATAATTCTAAAATTAAATCTATCAGTTACTAAAGGTAACTCAAAGTCACCAAAATTTAGACATATCAATTTTAAAGTATAGACTTACACATTTAAAAATTGTTCTGAATTGTAATATTTCTAAAATTAAATAAATAGCAAAAAAATCTCATTTGAAGAATTAAAATACTAGATTGCTTTTTTGACACATATATTTCCAAAAATATATCACTGGCAGTGATTGGAATCTAAACACTGTATATAATCCACAGTTACACATGCTTCCAAAGATATATGAACATGATACAGTTTAAGAAAGTGGCTTTGACCCATGAAGCCTCTTTCTTTCCTCCCACTAAATTAAAAAAAAGCTTCAATAGTTCTAAAAAGGTAATTTTCTTCTTTCTAGCAACTGACTGAACTAGCTCCCAACTTTAATTCTTTTCTATCCTTTTTTTCTGATATGGATACAATAGGAACTAATTTATAATGTGAAGCTCTAAAAATAAGAGGACATTAACATATATTTACATAGCTCATTATATGTAGCATTCTTTGTTTTCACATTTGGCATCATTCTCTTCATTTTAAGGATCATTAGGTGTTTTATTATTGCCGTTCTTTTTATAATCATTACCAACTACCTCTGTGTCCTTTCAACTGATGAATGCTAATCAAGAAATATCTAAGAGGAATCATTATTTGGGATTACTTCACAACTACTTCTAATAGCTAAAAGTCATAACTAGATGACATCACAAGCATCTGATTTTTTATTTAGAAGCAATATAAAATCATAACAAGTAAACACATATAGGGAAAAGTAAAATTTTATCTTTTAATATATTTTAAAAGTTACCAAAAGGTGAATGTGTTCAAGCTACATCTATGTCCTTAACTACCCCTCCCCTCCACTAACTTTTCTCCACCTCCACTGCCATTATGTTACACAAACTAGAGCAATCTTGCACTTGGATAACTGCAGTGGTTTCCAACCTGGTCTTTCTGAGTTGTTTCTGGCTTCTTTGCAATTCATTATCCTCAAAACAGACAGTATATTCTTTCCAAAATGCAAACCAGATCATGTTTAAAATATTTCAGAGGTTTTATACTACACTTAGTATAACATCCTAAAATACCCTATAAAATCTAGTCTTCATGTATCTGTCCAATCTCATCTCTCTTCTGTGTTTAGTATTGCCCAAACTGCCTTTACCTCTCCCAGCCTATCTCCCTCTCCTCCAGTCCCACATAAATTTGCTATGTTTCTACGACCTCAGATATTTATACCTGCTATTTACAATGCTATCACACTTCTTTAATTCAGATGTAATCTAAGTCCAAATAATACTTTCTTTGGGGAAATTTCCCTGAGTTCCTACACTATATGAGACAAGATCCCACACTTATCCCAGTTTATAATTACTTATTTCATTCAGTTTTGTCTTCTTGACTAGATTGCAAACTTCACAAAAAAAGCAAACAGCTGTTTTGTTTGCCATTAGCTCTCAAGTGCCTACACTACAGCACTGGGCACAGAATAAAAGTCCAACAAGTAAGTGTTTAACATTTTTAATATAAAATATATAAAAATGTAGAATAGAATCTATGAGGACTGGAAAAGATTTTTTGAAGCGCAGAATAAACAAAGTTACTTGCAGTCCCTTGTACAACATACTAGATTCATAAGAAAGAGGTGGAAAATGTATTGCCAAAAACTAATCTCCTAATACAGTATATTCAAAGTAAGAGCAATATTGGTCATCTATACCTCCATCTAAACCAAAGTCAATAAGAATATCTGACTAGTGTATTGAAAATCATATTTAGCAAAAAAATGATTAATTGCTGATTTTAAGGATGCCAAATATTACAAAAATGCAGTAACAGTGTATTTAAGTGTATTATAAAATTATAGTATTAAATTTACTTGGTCTAAGAGCTAAAAAACCATCTAAAATGACACATAGCACAATCTATTTAATGATCTCTAAGGGCAAAAGAACAAGTTTATATTCTTAACTTCATTTCATTCTGCATCATTTCATTGGCAATTTAAAATATTTAGCAAAATTTAAATTAAACACACCAAAGAAAACTCTTCAAGCCTGGCATGACAGCACATGCCTGTAATCCCAGCACTTGGAACGCTGAGGCAGGAGGATCGCCATGAGTCTGAGGCCATCCTGGGTTGCACAGTGACTTCAAGGACAGCCTGCACTATAAAGTGAGACTCTGTCTCAAGGAAGGTGGGGCGGGGGTAAGAAAATAAATCCACAATTATATGGTCAACTGAATTTCAATGAAAACTGTAAAACAAGTCAAGGGGAATGAAAAATCTTTTCAGTAAAAGGTACTAGAAAAATCTGGATGCCCATCTGGGGAAAAAAAATTGAACTTCTTTATACTACACACCAAAATGTAGTTGAAAAGGATCATAATCAAAACATAAAATTGAAACTACAAATACATACCTTCTAAAAACAATCCTAGAAAGAGACTACCCTCATAACATAAAAGTTAACAAAGATTTCTTTAGGGTCATAAAACCAATATTGTAAAACAAAAACTTAACAAATAACATTTGAAATAAAAATTCTTATCAAGAGATAATAAGATAATCAGCAAGCCAAAACTGGGAGGTAGTACTAGCAAAACATATAACAAATAAACTATATCCTAAGTACATGAGTCCTATAATTAAAAATAAATACAACAGAATACTACTCAGCAAGAAAAAGGAACACAACTGATGATACAAACAATATGGATGAATCTAACAACTAACGAAAAGAAGTCATGTCTTGTAGAGTACACACTTCATGATTTTACATTACTTTCTGAAAAGGAAAAACTAATTTTTACTGAAAGAAACCAGAAGAGTTGTTGTGGTGTGTACATGCATGCACAATATATGCATACATGCTCATACGCACACGGTCAAGAACAGACAGCCATGAAGTATAAGGGAACTTTCAGGAATGAGGGAAACATCCTGTATCTCGATAGGTGTGGGTTACATGCATGTACACATGTCAAAATTAATGAAAATGTAACATTCAGCACATATATATATATAATATAAGCAAATTATTACTTATATTATATAAGCAAATTATAACCAAAGACAACGCTAAACCTATGGCTGCACTTCCATGTATAGAGTGCTCCATGTTTGTGTAAAACTACAAAAGAAGAGCCCTAAAATTACTTGAGTAAATTTTATGACAATACCAGGAAACCACACATACTTTAAAAAGAAAAATATCAAAAACGCACTGAAGCCATGTTTAAGAATAAAAGCTATTATAATGTCTAAAAACAACAGATCAAACATAAATAAACAAAAAATAAATAATAAAAACAGATCCTAGAGAGCAGACTAAGTATATCTAGCCCCTGAATGCTTTCACAATCAATGAGTACAACTGACTCAAGGCTCAGTGACAAAACAGCACACAGGCAAGTAAGGCCCTGGGTGAGAAAAGCCTTACTAAAGGGCAGTTATGTAACACTTTCAGACTGCCGTGGTTAGCTGAGATTAAAGACAACTGGCCAAGTAAGCCAAGCTTTTGAAGGGTTCCATTAAGTTGAATCAATTACAAAGGGAAATAGAGA